TGGTGAGGGGGACGGTGCCCCAGGTCTGCCCAGAGGCGGCGGGGTGGTGGTGGTGTTGGTGGTGGTGGTGTGTGTGTGCTCAGAGAGGATGGCGTCTGTCTGTAAACCAGAGTGGATGAATCGGTGGGTTTCTAGAGAGTGAGTTGCGTTTTGAACAACGAATTGGCGTTAGCAGAAAATAAAAGAAGACACGAAGAAGGAAGAAAAGCAGAAAGTGGGGTGGGGACAGCTGGCCAGGCAGAAAGAACAGCCTGTCCAGAGGCAGGCAGGTGTGCAGTGGCGTGCTGTGGATGGGTACCTGTGCCTCGCCTCGGAGATAAGCGGATGGTCGTGAAAGGCTCTGCTGGGCTAGCCAAGGGGTTTGAACTTGACCTTGAAGGTCACCAGGCGGTTATTGAAGGATGTTCGGCAGGGAGATGACATCATGGGATGTGTGCTCTGGAGCCGTTCTCGCCTTGGGGTGGGGAGTGGATTGGATTCAGGCCCAGAGATCAGTTAGCAGCCCTCGCAGTCCTGAGGGGCCAGCGACACTTGACCCGAAGGCGTGGCAGAAGGGAGCAGGGTGTGGGATCCAAGTTGGTAGGTGTGGAGGACGTGGTCAGTGTGGACTGGGGCGGTGATTCATAGAGAGAAGTCTGGGGTCACGGGTTTTTGGCTGGGCTTGCTGGGGATGAGGTGGGGAACAGGGAGGTGTGGGAAGGGTGGGACGTGGAAGTAGAGCCGTGAAGGCGAGAGGCCAGGGCCGGGCTGGAGGTAGAATCATCAGCTTCTGCTACGGTTTGAATCGTGTTGGGTTGAGGTCACCTTGGAATTGCATCCGGGTGTGCAGAGGAGCAGCCTGATGGTTCTTGGGGCCACAGCGGCATTTAAGAGGACAGGGAGGAAGGAAGTTCACCGTCCACAGAAGGAAGAGTGACATCTAGCACTCTGACCGGGTTAGAGAGCTTCAGGCTGGGAAAGAGGGTTGGGGTTTGAGCACTGTTCTTACATGTGAGTGTGCATCTAACTGCATCAGGGTGTTTGTATACATCACCCCCCCCCCCCCCCCCAGAATGGCTTTACAGTATGCACCCAACACACCCTTCTCCCCAAAGATTAACCATCAGACTTAATGCGTAGTCACAAGGGTAAATCTGGGAATTCCAACCCGCTGAGATGAGAGAGGGGATTCTTTACGAGTTTGTGCCTTCCATTCCTGTTACAGATAAGGAAGGGCTTGCTCTGAGTAAGTACGAGGACATTTTTAGGTCACTCCGCAGTTTGCTGAAAAATTACAGTGTTAGAGTGTTTTCTATTGGGTTCTTAATCATTTTTACTTAAAAATCAAACAAACAACCAAACAAAACACACCCATATACAGTTGGTTAACCTTTTCTTATTGCTGATGTTTGTATGAAGACCTCGGTGCGTTGGGTTTATAAGCATTTCCCTCCTCTCTCTCTCTCTCTCTCTCTCTCTCTCTCTCTCTCTCTCTCTCTCTCTCTCTCTCTCTCTCTTTTATTGTTGATGCTATTTACCGATGTTTCCCCTTCTATGTCATAATACTTTACATAGAAAAGAATACTGCTACTTTCTATTCATGTAGCACCTAATGAAAAATTTCCCAGTGTTTTCACCAGTACTTTATAATCTGATTCTCCTCGTAGACAGCTGAGGTAGGATGGACAGCCATTATTCCCATTTTCCAGATGTGGAAACAGAGGCTTGGCGAATATGCTCATCCTTTAGGAAGTGGGTGACAGAATTTTCCCCGAGACTTGTGACCATAATTTCAAGGCTCTCCCCATGACGGGGGACATGCGACTCAGTGCTTATATGGTAACAACTGGAAGTAGTAAACCAATAGGGAAAATGAGCCCTGATTTTTTCCAGAATGCTTTGTCATCCTTCATCATGCACTACTATGTCAAGTGGTCCGAGGTATGAGATGATGTGGGTTTTACAGCTTAAGTTCGGAAACATTTTTAAAAATATTTTTTGATTTTTTTTACAGAGAGGAAGGGAGAGGGATAGAGAGGTAGAAACATCAATGAGAGAGAAACATCGATCAGCTGCCTCCTGCACACCTCCTACTGGGGATGTGCCTGAAACCAAGGTACATGCCCTTGACCGGAATCGAACCTGGGACCCTTCAGTCTGCAGGCCAATGCTCTACCACTGAGCCAAACCGGTTAGGGCAGAAACCTTTTTTTAAATCACAATTTTGTAGCCAATCGATGAGTGTGTTTTCCTAGTTTCTGTTTTTGTTTAATCAACTTAAGGGCCATTGGTTCAGTGGCGGGTGCCCGGCTCCTGTTCACGTGGAACATGGAGCTGTTGGAAACAGTTAGTTTCCCGTTGGGTCTATATAAGGACGTCTGCCTCTCCGAGGAAGAACAGCGGCAAGCACCCAGAGGGAGCGTGGCTCCCCTGTGACCTGATGACTAGGATCCTCCGGTTCAAAGCGGGGTCAACCCCTTGTTGGCTGTGGGCAGCCTCCTTTCCCAATCCCCCCGCCCCCACCCCGCCTCGGGCCCACAGTGCTTTTCAGAGCCCATGGAAATGGTCTAACTTTATTTTTTTATCACTTAAAAATACACATTTTATTGACTTCAGAGAGGAAGGGAGAGGGAGAGAGAGAGAAACATCAGTGATGAGAGAGAACCATTGATCGGCTGCCTCCTGCACGCCTCACACTGGGGATTGAGCCTGCAGCCTGGGCATCCCAGCTGGGAATCGAACCGTGACCTCCTGGTTCCTAGATCGAAGCTCAACCTCGGGGTCATGCTGGCTGGGCTGTTTAAAATGAACTTTGAGGTCCAAGGAAAGCTTTTTATATAGAATAGTAACATATTCATCTTTATGCCAGTACGGTCATACAGTCTGGTTTTGAACATGTTTTTTTTGAGAAGGGCCCATGGATGTCAGAATGCAGCCCTGAGTGTGTGGAGCGTCCGGAGGGAGATATAAATGCTCTAGTCTTCTGTTCCTGGCCTGTTTGTCCTGTGTTCGTCGACTTACTGGTGATTGATTCATTCCTCTAAGGCTGTGGATGTGTGAAAAGTACTCCAGGAAAATGAGTCAGTCTCTCCTCCCCATATCTCTCCGCCAACGCACACACACACACACACACACGCACACACACACACGTGAAATGTGGACAGACGGAGGCTGGCTCCCTGGGTTTTGTTTCCATTCCCATCTCGGGGCAGGCGGTCCTTTATCTTGACCCGATCACGCAATGTGTGGGATCCCTTAACACAACCCGCGTGGTTCAGGGTCCACTCAAGGTCCTGTTTCTGGAGGAGGCCGCATACTAAAATGAAGAGAGAAACTGGAAAAGAGTTAATTTGGGAAAATGGGTGGCCAGGCGAGAGTCAACCTCTAGTGGGAAGACTACCACCAGGCTCTGGCCTTGCCATCCCTTTTATTGAGGCTAAGGGCTACACCAAGTACCCTTAAGCAGGTTTGGGAGACACCCATGGCCCTTAGGCAGGTAATAAGCGGATTATCATATCAGTAAGGATTTACATGATTACAAGATGGGGAAGTTGCCTCAGTTACCGTTGTCTCCATTAGATAGGGAGTGGTTGGCTCTGACCTTTCAGAGCTTCAAGGTTGACCGGCCTTTTACATCTTTCTATTAGGGAGACAGTGATTGGTTTCTGGCACTCATGCTCTACGGAATGGGGGCGGTTGCTTACCAGTTGTTGCTGTCGTGCCCCTAACATTTAGAAAGTGCTTTTGAGAAATAATAGCCAACACATTTAGAGCATCACTATATTGTGACCTTGGTTTTTGATTTCCTCTCTGCCTTCGAATGACACTAAAAACACACGAAAACCTGTAAGAATAAGACTTTTTGGCACATTAACTCAGGGTCCTTACCTACCGAGGACGCTGGGCGGGAGGCCTCAGATGCAGGGACCACGGGGGCGTTGTCTGAGAAGGGGAAGCCCAGGAGGTGACGGAGGTTGTTTTCAGGGAATGTGGACGGTTTCTCTCCTTTCTAGAACCCTGTGTGGAGATTCTCATTTTGGTATCTGCACAATAGGGTGGAGTGGCTCTGTCCAGAAAACCCCATAATCTTTCTTCTGCTTCTGCCTGCCCCTCCGACGTGCCGAAGCAAAGCAGCAAGAAATGGCACACGTTTCCGCCCTGGCGGCCCCCTTTTCTAACCCGAAAGTTAAAATACTGAAAATTAAATTCCACGGACACATTTATAATCGCCAAGTGAATAAATTACCCTTTAAAAAAGCTATCGTGCAAGACATAATATATTTTTGTTTTCCATTATATATATATATTTAAAATATATTTTTACTTATTTCAGAGAGGAAGGGAGAGGAAGAGAGAGCTAGAAACATCAATGATGAGAAACATGGATTGACTGCCTCTTGCACACCCCACACTGGGGATGGAGCCCACAACCCGGGCCTGTGCCCTGACTGGGAATGGAACTGTCCTCCTGGTTCATAGTCTGATGCTCTACCACTCAGCCACGCTGGGCGGGCAACAGTATCGTATTTTAAAATGAAGCTTCTCCTCATGAAGCTGCGGTGCACGTACAGACTCATTGTCAGCTCTCCCTGCTTGCTTTTCACATGACCTTTGCTGCTCTTTCTGACCTGCGTTCTGGGAAGTGATGGGTCGGGCAGGGCCTGTACTTTTGAGAGAGACGAAGGAAGGAGGACACCAGAGAAACACGTGAACCTGCTTTGCATGATTTAAAATGAAGACCCCATTTGAAGGTAGACTTTCTTGACGGTCTTTACCTAGCCTTTGGGACTGCAGCAGTGCACCCACCTTGATATGGCATTCTTGTAAAAATTACGTTCTGTGGCAAGAGTTCTGTTTTTGGGAGCTTCTGTGGTGCCTGATTCATTCACTTCTCGTTTTTTTAGAATCACAGCCACGTTGGTCAGAGCTCATTTCCGCCCTGTCCTCGCACAGTCACTCCTCTCCTCTCTCCCCGGTCTTCCTCGCGGTCCTGACGCCCTTTGTCTATGATGCCCTTACAGGAGTTCGTGAGCGTCTGGGTTCGAGACCCTAGGATTCAGAAGGAGGACTTCTGGCATTCCTACATCGACTATGAAATCTGTATTCACGTGAGTACGCAGTCAGGAGCCATTTTCGGTAGCATATGTTTGGTGGGATGCTTTGATATACTTAAAAAGGAAAGCTTTCTGAGTTCAAAGAACTGAAACTTCATGATCACAACTAATGCTTGCACCTTAAGGGAAGTAATAAGATGGTTCCTATGTCCCGACCCGCGGGACAACAACGGGGGCACGCAGGAACCACCTAAGAGAATGAAACAAACAAGGAACGCGAAAGAATGGAGGCAAGACAAGGTTCTGATCAAGCCTCAAACTTTTATTCTCTGAAATGGCTGTATTTATACAGCAGAGACAAAGGGGGGCAGGGTTGCCTATGCAGGGGGGTCTTTGGCAGTGTCCATGGGGGAGGATCAGGAAGGGGAAGTTGCAAAGATGTTAACATTCCAAGGTGCAACATTCCAAGGCTGGGCTATCTAGGGGGGAGGATCAGGAAGGGGAAGAGGCAGGAAGACAGGAGATGCTAAGCCCCAGGTTAATCTTATCTTCTGGCCAAGCCCTCAGGGCACCGCATAACTTCTGCTAGAAGGAACTTAATTCTATTTCCTTAAGTCTGAGTTGCTTGCCTCAACTCTGCTGGCTCCCAACATTCCTAAAGTTGAAAAATGTCTTACTTGAGTTCCTCATTATACCTCTGTTAATATTAATACTTCATGAAGATGTGAATATTTCTAAAATTCACAGTTAAAGAATATTTATACCTCGTTAGTGGTATTTATGATCGGGGGTAGCCCATTTCCAGGTAGCAAGCATAGCGCTTGATAAATCTGTTGTGAGAGGCTGTAGGGCTCTCTGGAGAGGAGATGTGCCGTGGTTCGTATGTGGAGTAAGAAAGTCGGAACTGGATATTTGCAATTACGGACTAGATTCCGAGTAATCAGCGCAGTAGCCGGCAGGGATGTTCTTTATTTGGAAACAGTGCTCTGTCACAATCTCTTGAGCAATGTCATGGCAATTTCTTGCCCTGGCATGTGTGAGGCTGGGAGTTCCCTGTGAAGGGCAGGCAGCACACGTGTTCAGCTCCGAGGGCCCCGCCGTCCCCCTCGACACTCCTCGGCTCTGCTCTTGGAGGGAAGCAGCCTAAACAAGGCACGGATGGATGCCTGAGTGCGGCTGCGTTCCAGTGACACGCGGTGTGTGAAGATCAGCGGCAGGCCAGGTGTTAGAGCTGTATGGCCCTGATCAGGAATGAGTCACTCTCCCCACCTGGTTTAGTCTGGGCTTTTCTCGGGAGCATAGCACAGGCCCAGGTGGTATCTCTGTGATGGCACAGCACAAGTGAAGTAACATTTGACCGCCTTCACCCTTCCCATGGCAAGTAGCTAAGTTGGTTTGCAGTATCGGACGTGCAGTCACTAGTCATACACATTCCTTCCCCCTTTCCCCCCAAGTTTTCCCAACTTAGAAAAACAATGTAAAAACTCAGAACTGCTTATTTTATTTTACTTATTTATGTTGAATCCTCATCCAAGGGTATTTCCCCCCATTGGTTTCCGAAGAGAGGAGAGTGGAAGAAAGGGAGAGAGAAAGAGAAAGAGGAACACGGACGTGAGAGAGACACATGGGTTGGTTGCCTCCTGCACACCCCTGGGAAACCTGCACCTGCCACCTTGACCGGGAATCAAACCTGCGGCCCTTTGGCTCACAGGCCGATGCTCCAATCACTGAGGAAAACCAGCCCGGGCCAGACTGCTTTTCTGACGATTGTGCTGAAGGCCATTGCCGGGTTGTACTTTGTATTTTGATATCGTTTTGGTTTTGCTCATTAAGTCTCACCAGATGTAAATTCTGTGTGGGAAATGACAAGTAAGCCTTTGAAAATGAAGTGAAATCCTCGCCCTGGTTGTGTGTTGCTCAGTTAGTTGGGTGTCACCCTGTGCACCAAAAGGTTGCCAGTTTGATTCCAGTCTCAGGGCACATGCCTGGGGTATGGGCTTCATTCCTGGTCGGGATGTGTGCAGGAGGCATCCGATCGATGTTCCACTGTCACATCGATGTTTCTCTCCCTCTCCCTTAAAAAAAAGAAAGAAAACGGAATTAAATTCTTCAGGTGCCTTTTAGCTTCCTCTACAACATTTATGGGTCCTTGTTACATGCTTCATGGTAGGTGTGAAATTTGATTCTCTTCAGGGAGTTAATGATGTGAATTCAGGAATGTCCACCTCGAGCCAGAAATGGTGCGTGCCGCAAATATTGGGCGGTGTTCTGGGATTTCTCTGAAATGCTACTACATTGACAACGAAGAAATCGTGGCTTGGTAGATAGCTGACACAAGCAAATCGATTTAGAGGAACTTGGTGAACTAGTGACCTCGGTGCCATCTGATTCTGTTGTACAATCCAGAGTCGATGGGGGACGGGAGAGTCCTAGTCAGCCTCCCCCGATGGGGTACCAGAGAGCTTCGAAGGTAGAGAAGCCAGCCTTGAGCTCATTTAAATCAATCGTAAGGGAAATTATATCTGGCGACTCTAAAGTCTGAGCATTTACTTGACATTTTGTTTATTTATACTTTATATATTTTTTTTACTTAGCATTTTAAACAAGTGGACTATAGAGGTGGGTAGTCTATGGTATACATTCTCCTGAACTTGTTCTGCAAACGAAGGACTTCGAGGTGGACAGAGCTTTGGTGCAGGCACCTGCTGGATCTCAGTGGTTGGCATCCACCGTGAATCTGAGCGGAGAAAAGGAAGGGAGATGAAACTGAGTCCGGTGGATCTGAGGCAGAGTCCCTCAGTGGCTGATCCCTGCTCAGGCTCCTCGGGGCTCATTCTGCTGCAAACGCCTGCTTCCTTCCTCCCCGAGGATCACTCAGCCGAGGCCCTGGTGTGCTGTGAACTGCACACACGAAATGTTCTGGTGCCACGGACTCCAGCACGTTTGGCTGCCCTGGTGTCAAAGATGAAGGGATTTAGACCAATCTTTCTTTTGGGGGCAGGTCTCTGAATATAACCTCTCTGTAGCCAAGGTTTTCTGAGGAATACCAGGGACGCTCTCAGATCCTTCCTTTCTGGGGGCAGTTTAAGAAGGAATGAAAAAGAAGAAGAAGAAGAAGAAGGAGGAGGAGGAGGAAGAGGAGGAGGAGGAGGAAGAAGAGGAAGAAGAGGAAGAGGAAGAGGAAGAGGAAGAGGAAGAAGAAGAAGAAGAAGAAGAAGAAGAAGAAGAAGAAGAGAAAAGATAAGAAAAGAAGGAATGAACATAATCTCATTTCCCAAGTTAAACAACTGCTGGGTGTTTTTTAAAAGATGCAATAATATTTTTTGAAATAGTATAAATCTTAGAGGCAAAACATTCCTCATTTGGTAACATAAAGATTTTGAAACAGAAATTTGAAATAAATATAGAGAATAGAGATATTCTGACAAAATCAACCGACAAATATGTGCCGGTCTCCTGGTACCCAAAGGAGAAGTGCTGCCATTTTGCTGAGGACGGGGACTCTGGAGGTGGCTTTTTCCGCATGTGCCTTAGGGTAGCTGGAAGGGAGCAGCACCCAGTAACGCATGCTAAGGTTAATGGGTGACATTTGCCAAGTGCTTGTTACCCGTCCTCACAGCCGCCCTGGGAAATAGGCCTGCACTGTTCACCCAGTGTTATAACCCAGGGAACGGGTGGCAGTGATTTGCCCTCTGGCAGTGCCAGGACTGGAATTTGGGTCACCCGTAAGGATGCCTGTCCCTGTGCCTCACACCCCTTTCTAACTCGGACTAGGTTCCCTCCCACCTGCCAGGGAAGGGAAATGCTGTTCTCTTGTTTAGAAGTGACTCCAGGCCCCGGCCAGTGTGGCTCAGTTGGTTGAGCAAATGTCCCTTGTACCAGAAGGTCGCTGGTTTGATTACGGCCTGGCCCCATACCCTGGTTGCGGGCTCCATCCCCAGTAGGGGGCGTGCAGGAGGCAGTTGATCAATGATTCTCTCTCATCATTGATGTTTCTATCTCTCTTCCTTTCCCGTCCTCTCTCTGAAATCAATAAAAACATATCTAAAGAAAGTAGAAGTGATTTCGGGATTCCTGGTGACCTGTGTGATCTGTAGTGCAGGCCGTGTCAAGGTCATGACGGCTTCTGTGATGTCATGTCAGGGATCAGGAGAAGGTGTCCCTAGTCCCCAAGGGCTTCCCCAGACAGATGGCAGGTGTTAAAAAGCAGTGGATGACCCTCAGTTCTTTTTTTTTTTCTTTAAACATATATTTTATTGATTGTTTACAGAGAGGAAGGGAGAGGGATAGAGAGCTAGAAACATTGACCAGCTGCCTCCTGCACACCTCCTACTGGGGATGTGCCCGCAACCAAGGTACATGTCCTTAACTGGAATTGAACCCGGGACCTTTCAGTCTGAAGACTGACGCTCTATCCACTGAGCCAAACCGATTTTGGCTGACCCTCAGTTCTTACTGGTCATTTGTGCTTCAGGATTCGATTTTTTTATGATTCTTTTTTTTGAAAGCAGTGCTAATAGGTGGGCAGGAGGCTACTTCAGGACTCAGGGAGTGAATGGCTCGCCCCAGACAACATTTATGTCAGCCCAGCTGTCTTCGGGGCTGCCATATGGATGGGGGATGTATAAGATTTGAATCTGGTCTAAATGCATGTGTATTTTTGGGTTTAAAAATCCCATTTAAGTAAATTCGGGGGTACATACTAATAGTGAATTATAGAGGTAAAAAAGGTATTTTTCCTCAAGTGAGGCCTATACTTTTCTTTTCTCTGAACAGACCAATAGCATGTGTTTTACAATGAAAACGTCCTGTGTACGGAGAAGATTCAGAGAATTTGTGTGGCTGAGGCAGAGACTGCAGAGCAATGCATTGCTGGTGTAAGTGACTTAACGAGTGTACCGAGGACACTTTATTGTTATATTCAGTCTTTAGAACTTTGATTTGCATGAGATGTAAATTATGAGGGATTTCACAGGCATTCTTGATTGTAATGATGGCTTTAGTTTTGTGGCTACGGCATCCAAATTCAACATTTATCACTTGAATTCCACCAACTTTCATGGCTATTGATCATGAAATGCTCAACAACGTTTAAAAATGGGGTTTTCCTCAGGTTAATATTCGCTTATTCTCATTATATAACGACCTATGTAATATACAGTCACCGAGCGGTGATGACTGTGCAGTAATTTGCTTTCACCGAGGGATTTCTGTCACTAAGCCACCTTGATGGGATGATTGTAAACATGTTTGTTTCTTTCTCATTAGACAACTGCCAGAACTTCCGTCTAAAAACCTCTTTTTCAACATGAACAACCGCCAGCATGTGGACCAGCGGCGCCAGGGCCTGGAAGATTTCCTCAGAAAGTAAGTGGGCAGGAAGGGAGGGAGCACAGCGCTGTCTCTGAAATCCTCATCATGGGCGCCAGAGCCAACCTCAGCCGTTCATTTCCTGTACCGGGGCGCCACCTTGTGGCTCACCTCTGATGGTGCATACCAGGGACCACATCTACAATAGAAAGAAAACAATGAACGAATTGAATCCGCTGATAAATACAGGGTCCCTTAAGCTGTAACGCAGAGCCAAATTACTTGGGAGTGTAGCTGACAAAAGCAAAAAATTCCAGGACACAGATGTGCCTTATTAAAAAGGCACTTCTGAAACACGGTCTTTATTTACAGCAGTTGGGTTGATGGACAAAGACCTGCTTTCCAGTGGGCTGCTGATGCCTTCTGGGTTCCTCTGCTAATGAATGAGTGGCTCACGGCACTCGTTGGAGGGACTGTATGTAAGGGGGTGTCAGATAGTCTCGGGGGCTATTGACTCCAGGTTACGTGGTGATGGTGGTGATGGGAGATACTGTAGCGAAGCGACTTAAATTCACACTACCGTAATTTCTTTCCCCCTCTCCCCGCTCCCTTTCTCTCTCGCCCCCCTCCCCCACCACGGGGAAACCGGAATTCCCATCCCATGGGACAGCACATTGGTTTGCACACAGACTCTGAGGCCAGCCTGCGGGGTTCAGACCCTGGTCGAGTCACCTATGAGCTGGGAGCCTGGGCCCGCCTTCCCTCCTCTCTGCCTGCGTTTTCCCGTCTGTGAAATGGAGGCCGTGAGAGCACCTGCTTTATAAGATCGCTGGGAGGATTAAGTGAATTAATGAATGCGGTCTGGCATATGACGCGTGGTGTCTGTGCCCTGGCCGTGGTTTGTTGATGCACGTAGAAGTGAGACAGCCTTGAGCTAATTCTGCTAGCTTCTTACTTTATAGATAAGGAAATAGGCTGAGCCACATGCCTACTGGTTAGGGGGCAGGGCCCAGTCACCTGGACTCTTTTTCTACTCCATTCAGGATCTGAAACAATCCTGTTTTGAGGTCACTGCATGGCACCTCAGAGCTAGCCCGAGATAACATCCTGCCTTCTCTCCATGTGGCCATTCATAACCGGTGTGGGTGTTACATATGCCCATGAATATTAATACTGATTTCTATCAGGTTGGTGGGGGGAAGGGGTGGGGTGTGGAGAGTGGTGGGAGTGGCCAGTGTGGCTCAGTGGTCGAGTGTCGAATGAATTAGGAGGTCCAGGCTCAATTCCTGGTCAGGGCATATGTCTGGGTTTCGGACTCGATCCCCAGAGTGGGGCATGCAGCAGGCAGCCCATCCATGATTCTCTGTCATCATTGATGTTTCTCTCTTAATCTCTCTCTCTCCCTCTCTCACTTCCTCTCCGAAGTCAATAAAAATAAAAATAAATTATTAAGGGGGGAGCCGGAAAAGAAAAAGAAGCTAGAAGAATGACATGGGATCAGAAGCCCTAGTCCTGAGCGGGGGCCTGGGAACATGTTACAGTGAGTTTCTGTTGGGCCTCGCAGGCCTGAGAGAGACAAAGGCCTGTGTGTGTGCGTGTGTGTATACGTGTGTGTCCCCTGGGGGGACAGCTCCGGTGCTAATGGCTGCCTGTCTGAGACCCAGGTGGCAGATGGCCGCTCCCTTACGATGGGGCCCCTGCCACTCCGCATGCTGCTCAGGGACCAGTCCTGTGAGGCCCGGGCGGGGCCAGCCCCGGGGAGCTGCGTGTTTCCTGTGAGGGGGCGCCTTTGGGAGGTCACCGGCAGCCGGGGCTCCATGTGGATGCTGCTGGCTGATCGCAGGGCATGCGTCTCTGGCCGGGAGTCACTTCATTGTTCTGAGCACGACCTGTTCTTCCTCAGTTGATTTTTACCAAAGCAGCGAGCGGCACTAGTGAGTGTCATGCGGCTGCAGTGGGATGAGGCTTGCACTGGGTTATTTTTGTGAATTGTGTCGTTTGGCTGCTCGTTGACTGAATTTTTTTTTCTTTAAAAAAAAATATATGTATTTTGATTGATTTCAGAGGGAGAGGGAGAAGGGGAGAGAGAAACATCAGCGAGGAAAGCGAATCATTGGTCAGCTGCCTCCTCACACGCCCACCCTGGGGATCGAGCCCACAACCGGGGCATGTGCCCTGGCCGGGAGCCTGGTTCGCAGGTTGACACTCAACCACTGAGCCATGCTGGCCCTCGGGCTTGTTGACGGAATTTGACGCGGACTTCACAGCACAGAGGGTCTGGGATCGGAGCTCGGTGAGCTGGGCTCCAGGTCGGTCTCTCTCTCTCTCTCTCTCTCTCTCTCTCTCTCTCTCTCTCTCCCTCCCTCCCTCCCTCCCTCCCTCCCTCCCTCCCTCCCTCCCTCCCTCCCTCCCTCTCTCTCTCTCTCTCTCTCTCTCTCTCTCTCTCTCTCTCTCTCTCTCTCTCTCTCTCTCTCGTTTTGGCTCCTGTTGTTTTCTGGCTGCGAGACCGTGGGAGTCACCTCATTCCTCTGAGCCTTGGTTTGCTGCACGGGGCTGTAGTGTTCCCGCGCTTTGTCCCCCTCACCGGAGGCTGTCCTTCCGATGATGCATCCGAGGAAAATCTGCTTAGGTGACTGCTTTGGGCCGGGCTGGCTCTGGGGATACCGGACCCCTGGAATGGACACAGTCCTGGTCCTTTCGAAGCTTCCAGTCGAGTGGGGAAGCGCTGGGTGTGTATCCGGGGGTGGCTGGATTCTTTAAAACTGCATCCTCAGCCAGAAGTGGAATCACAGAGCAGGCACCGAGGTCTCTTATGATGCCATGTGCTCCACAGTCTCCCGGCTGACGGTGCTTCTGGTTTGGACCTGAGAAAAGCAAGGAGTCTGGCCGCACATGGTGGCTTCCGGCCTGTCTCCCCCCTCCCCCCATTTTTCTGTGTTCCTCGGATTCTCTCCTGCTCTTCGCCCCGTGTGTGTAGGTGACAACTGTCCGTTTGTGCCCGGGGTGTCCCTCAGCTCCAGCCGCTTCTGGAAACTGGGTCTGACGTGGCCCTTGGCCGCTCGGCACCGTGTCCGTCCCCAGCCCGGTCCCGTTACTCACGGCCCCCTGGGTGGCGGCGCCCCGTTGTTTGTAGGACGCGTTAGGGAGCCGGAGGGAAGACGCCCCAGCATTAACTGGGAACGTGCCCGTGTGGTCGGTTTTCAGGCGGCATTTAAAACTCTGGCTTTTATGGATGCTTTGAAGTGATGCGCCAAGGGCACGTAACGTGTTCAGACCCTTCAGAACCGAGCGTCTTCGGGCGCGCGTGTGTGTGTGAGAGTGTGTGTGTGCGTGTGTATGTGTGTGCGCATGTGTGTATATGCGCGCGCGTGTGTGTATGTGTGTGACTGTGTATGTATGTGTGAGTGTGTGTATGTGTGTGTGTATATGTGTGTGCACGTGAGTGTATGTGTGTGTATGTGTGTGTGTGTATGTGTGTGTGTATGTGTGTGTGTGTGTGTGTGTACTGTAGCAGTGTTTTCCACTAAAGGTCATTGGAAAAACAATACCTACTTAACAGCAAACTACACGCCCAGGTCCGTCTTCATGGGGGAATTAGTGAGTTGTCTCTTTCACCGGGTGCCAAAAAAAAAAGAATTTATACCGTTTATTGAACACTTGCTTGTTTGTGTGTCTAGCTTTCACGTTTTTATCTCAGTGACGACAATAATGTAATTTCCGTGTCTCGATGTTACAGACAAGGAGATTACAGGAAAGGTGGAGGCACTCTGTTGTAGTTAGTAGAACTCTTAAAGGCTAAATTTGGTCAGTATGATTGTGAGATCTTTCATATATATTTAAATTTATTTTTCCTTAATCTTGGCTATGATCTCCTTTTGGACTCCTCTTCTCCCCCCCCCCCCCCCTGATATTTATAAATTGTAAGTCATTTCTACAATAGTTATGGCAAAAATAGACTCAAATGACAAATCCTGTTGGTAAGACTCCACCTGTGACAATGGCACTAGCTTTTCCGTTTGATTGATGTCACGAACGGGAGCAGCCCGCCTGTTCTGAATTCACCCCATTCGTCCAAATACAATGGAGGCTTTTGTATTGCAGTTTTGTATTTCTTTACAATTAAAGGAATATTACAGGTTTGTTTTTTTACCAAAGGATACCATGGAAACACTGTTAGTTGCACACACACACACACACACACAGTTATTATGTCGCTGTGTTCAACAGAGGGCACCATAGCACAGTTCATGAATGCCTTCCGTGACGATTTGTGGGCTTTATTTTTTCTCATGGTGAGAGGTAAACAGGCTGAGTTAAAAACATTTCCCCCCTACATCCAGCTGCTCGCGTTCCCCGGGGGGTTCAGAGGGGAAGGCGTGTCAGTGTGCTGGGCACAGCAGACGAGGGCGCCCTGAGGTGGGGCAGCGTTTGTGCATCGCTAATGTATTGTTCTCTGTGGAGCGACACAGAACTCACCTGGTGGAGTCAAGGGGAGGAAAACCAGGTTTTCCGGTTGGAGGGCAGAACAGGTTTCGCTTTGTGTAGTTGAATGTTCTGTGGGGAAAGGAATAACGGTCCACGCATGTTGTAAATAGCTTTTCACAAATTCCTGCAACATCCTGGAGGCCATTTTTTCTTCCTTTTGTAAAGGCCTGAGCAGTGCATACATGTATTTTTATGGAGGCTTACAGCGATGACATGTTATTGACTGTTTTACAAAGTACCCTTTGTATTAAGTTTGAAGTTGATTTCCTGCGATTCGATTTGTTTGTGGAGAATGCGGCGCAAATATGACTAAGGTGAAAATAGGATTTAATATCGTGGTGATGGCAGTCACAACGCTCGCTGATACATACTAGGCCAGATGCAACGTTAAATGCGCTAGTCGTGCTCTCCGAACCGGGGAGAGAGGGGTGGGGAGAGGGGCAGCCGGAGGGCACTCTCCACTGTTTGTGTTTTTAATTTTGGAAGGAAATATATGACTAAAGGTAAAAATCATACATATATTAACATTTAATTTTTGCATGTTTAAAACTCATCCCCGGGGAGCACAGTGGCATTCGGTTAGCCAGCCAGGCTGAGGGGATGAAAAAACCCAGAGGTGGTAGCAGATGTACGGATGTTGGGGTTCCCTCCCCAGCCACACGCTTCTCTCCCTTTCAGAACGGAGAGCTGGGCGTGCCCGCTCCCTCTCGCCGTTCCCGGCGTGTCCTCCAGATGGCAGCCTCCCGCAGGAAACGCGGAGGAGTAATGAGTCTAATGTACAGTAAAATTGGAAATTGAATTATAGCTCAAGGAAAAAAGACAGTAGCCTTGAGGTTCCGATGAGCCGGGCCCTGCTCCCTTTGGTTTGCTGCGCCCACGTGTTAGGTTACCGGCGGGTTAATAACCGCGCCAGCGCCGTTCAGGGCTCAGCAGAATTGCTCTGGACATGAAATAAAGCTAAAATGAATTTGTGTCCAATATCATTGGCATTAGTGCTCATTACTTTTGCGGGGTAATGCCGCGAACCACCCAAAACCAATTGTAGAGATTACCTATTATTTTATAAAGAAAATAAAACACATTTCCACCAGAAACAAAGCAGTCCATGTAATCCCATGAACGGTTCCTGGTGCCAGGGCCGGCAGGAAGCGCCCCGTTCAGACCTCCCAGGGGATTCAGGCTCCCGTCAGGGGGTCCGGCCATCCACCTCGCCTCCGAATGCAGCGTTTAAGACAAGAGGGCAAACCTCTGTAAGGTGGGAACCCTCCCGGAACAGGAAGAGGCGTTTGCCACCTTCCTGCCTGTCCTTGGCAAATGAATCTTCCTCATGCCCATATGGAGGGAGGGGCAGGGTTAGCTGCTTCCCTGCCCGAGTTTCTGCCTTTTAAAAATCGCAGCTGTGTCAAAACCGGTGTGGCTCAGTGGATAGAGCGTCGGTCTGTGGACTGGAGGGTCCCAGGTTCGATTCCGGTCAAGGGCATGCACCTTGGTTGCGGTACATCCCCGGTGGTGGGCATGCAGGAGGCGGCTGGTCGATGTTTCTCTCTCATCGATGCTTCTAGCTCTCTATCTCTCTCCCTTCCTCTCTGTAAGAAATCAATAAAATATATTTTTAAAAAATCAATAAAATATATTAAAAAAATAAAAAAAAAAAACCAAATAAAAATCACGGCTGTTTTACCTTTTCTTCCTCCCCGTCAGTAAGGAGGGTTTCCTTAAGCTGCATTGGTAAGCCTGCTGTAGCCCTGTGCCTTTCTAGATGTCGGCCTTCTTGCAAAAAAGAATTGTTTCCTTTTGCAGGAAAGGAAATAGTCTAATGTTCTTGGACTTTAAATGAAAGGCGCATGACCAAGAGAGATGTGCTTTTCCTAGAAACTTGTTAAAAAAAAAGGCATGTATGAACAATCCCTTCTTGGCCGAAACATTACTCGGGGTTTAGTGTTTTACTTTCGGCTGCTACCACGGGTGTTAATATCGCATCATGATGCCGTCACTGAACTGGGAACAGAGACAAAGTTAATACTTAAAAGTCTGCACTAAAAAGTTAAAAAACAGTTTTCATTGACACGCGAGGGTGTCCTTTGGCAGAGAAAACGCGTTCACTGATGATGTGAACCTGGGCGTGCATAGATTGGGCCAGGGGCCGTTGTGTGCTCCCCTCTGCCGTTCTGAGGGACTAGTTGAAATCTGTACCCTATTTGTTTCACTGAAGACTTTGGAGAAATTTCTAGTCAACCTTAGGTATTTAAAAAAAACACACACAAAAAACAGCTCTCCACCAAGCCCTTGTAAACTTGCACAGAAGCAAAGCTGTGTTTTTCCAACAAAGAGATGACTTTTTAATAGAACGTTTAATGGCAGTTGAAAGTTTTGATGTGTTCTGACAGCCTCGCCCATAAAGATCACAGGATGGACACGCCGGCTGGCAGTAAAAAAAAAAAAACAACCAAAAACGATTTCAAGCGGAGTACATTTCTATGACTCCATAAGCAAAATATTTCCGTAATTAATCCACATGGCCGTAACAGATGGTTACAGGGAAGACGTGTCCTTGAACTTATTCTTTCAACAGATGTTCCTCACCATCAGCTTCGTGCTTTCACTCACCTAAATTCCCAAATAATTGAATCGAAGGTAACATATGCTTCCCTCCCTTTCATGGGCAGAGAGCATCGTGGATGCGACGTTTGCCACGTCGAGGGCTGACTTCGGTGGCCCGTTTCGGATGCGTCGCTCTCTCTCCTGCCCTGTGGCGGTGCAGGCCCGTGCGCTGGTGACCTCTCCCTTTCCTCTGACACAGGGTCCTCCACAACGCGCTCCTGCTGTCCGACAGCAGCCTGCACCTCTTCCTGCAGAGCCACCTGAACGCTGAGGACATCGAGGCGTGCGTTTCGGGGCAGACCAAGTACACCGTGGAGGAGGCCATCCACAAGTTCGCCCTGATGTACAGACGCTTCCCCGAGGAAAATGAAGACGGAGAACAAGAAAACAGCACAGAGTATGGCTCAGAAAGGTACTTCCTCGCATTCCCACATGACACCCCACGCATTTACAGAACACGCAGCACGCACAGGCATGTGCAGGGGTGTCGACGCACACTTGCCTTCTTCTTTGTTGATGCAATCCTCAGATAATGAAAAAATTAATTGACTGAGATTTTATTGAATTGTGACAGCTCATCATCGGAGTCTTCACACACACCTCCACGCCGAATTAATGGATGCAGGAGAAATTCAATTATCTGCATTCTGATTATGTGACTTTCATTTAGTCAGACTTGAATTATTCGCGTTTAAATTATCTAGCTAAAAAAATATCCAACTGCACTCCAAATGGCTAATTAAAAGTCCAAATTTCCTGTCTCTCTTTGTGACTGGAGATAATTAAAGTTCTCCTCTGTTACTCAGGCTTTGAGTGTGTTGTGAAAACCAATTTCCTCTTTTTATTATTTCCTCCCCCTCTCTTCTTTTCCAGTTCGTCCTCCGGGTTTGGACACAGCAGCGGAGACAGCAGCTCACATGGGTGTAAAAGGAGCACAGCCCCGCAGGATTCCTGAAAAAATAAAAATTCTATCGTGACCATCTTAGGAACAGCAAATGATGTCCAGTCCCGGAGGAGAAAGCAGCAGATGTATCTTTTACCTAAAGCTCCCTGTCACGAAATGAGGCACTTACATTCTCCAAGACGCTGGGTTGTTTATCCATGCTGTTTTCCCATTGTCTTATTTCGGCTACGCTTCTGTAAAACGCTGGAGGCCTATGATTACAACACTCTCCTTTGTAGGCCAACGTTATTGCTAACACAACATCCTGCCCTCCAAGGAGGTGTATAGGTTTTTTGAAAAAACACAACACAAAAAGACCTGGTTGGTTTTACTGAATTTGAAAAGATAGGTAAATAGTTGGCATTTCAAATCCAGACAGAGGGTTCCTCTTTGCATCAGCGGGGCAGTGTTATCGTCAACACAGCAGGATGAGCTTCCCCACTCTGCAGACTGACAGCCGGCCGGCCTCCGCTCAGACTTGTGGCTGATATTTTGCCGGTCCCTCCCCCGCCCCGGGAAGGCACTTTGCTTTTGGGTGTTTGAAACCCTGTGAGCGAGTTTAACCTTCCCGGTATTCTTCTCTTACAGGGAGATGGGGAAGGTATCTTAGGAACAGAGACACGCTAAAATAATGTTCACATCCCAGACAAAACAGAAACACAGCCAGGGGCTTTGCTGATACCTGCCATATGTAGATGAAGAAATACAGTTTCATTGTCCAAAAGTCAGCTTTCACACATGGTTTCTGGAGACAAGGCATTTGTTTTCATTATCATTGTGCAATTAGAATTACAGGTTAATGATTTATTTTCTGACTAAATAGGCAGTTTCCTATCGCTAGATAATGTTCTCAGTGGTGGTGACTTGTTACTTATCTTTAGGCTCTTATACAAATAAGTTTAATGTTATCAGTAAGTATTCCCACAATTTAGAAAAGGATATAACCGTAATTATTCATTTTTTTAAAAGCCCTTTCTTTTTAGGTAGCTTCCAGAGAACTGGTGTAACTTAAAATAATTCAATAAAATATTTTTTAAAATGACCCAAAGAGAAAATGTCTTAAACTACATTGAACTTCAAATTTCAGACGAGACAGCATTTTCTTGAGACAATTACCCAAGCGTCTTCCCTGCTGAATGGTACGAAATATCTCCGAAACTACCAGGAAGATATTTTTACATAACTGGGATAACTTGTTGCTTTAATTAAACGTGACCTCACCGCATTTTAACTAGGAGTTTAAAAGTTACTGTATCATTAAAAAGTCTTTGGAATGCTTGTAACTAAGAAGCAATAGAAAAAAAATTAAATTTAGAATAAGAATGATTCCATACTTTCTCCTTTTTTGTTTTTGTTTGGTCTAAAACATTATTGAACGTATATAAACATTCTGATTTAATGGATTGGGTCTTATTACTTTATCAGCTAGGACTCATTATTTTAATACAGAAAAAAAGGGTTAGCAGTTTCTTTTTACCTTGCCAATGTGTGAAGTTTACCATCCCGTCATTTAAGAGCGGGTCCCAGCTCCTTGTGATATGTATTTGAATCACATTATTTCTGTTTTTCAGCTGTTTGGAAAAGGATGTATATATATGCTACCAATTGTCCTATTATTTTTAGATGATGTAAACAGCCACCAAAATGGATATTAAGTAGTGCCTGAGACTGTGGCATGCAAAACTTCACGAGATCACCGTTTTCACATTAAACATGAAAAAAAAAAAATCAACTTCATTGGGCTGGCTCACTTGTTTCATTTGAGAATGCATTTCTCCTGACTTGGACCTAAATTCCGTGTTTTTGAATGACTGCTAAATTTTTTTTACGAAGAAGTTGGGTAAAGTTTGCTTTCACATTCACTCTCGTTGTATGCATTTGAGCTTTGGTTTGTTTGTTGTTTTGGTATCTAAGCACCATTAACGCTGATCCTCAGCAGCTGAAATATTTAGGTAACTTCAGCTACCAATGGCTTGCTGGCTTAGTTCGAATCTCTTATTTTCCTCTGGCATATTTTTATAAAGTTTTCTTTAGGAAAAGAAAATGATTACTTAAGTAACTAAACTAAATAGATGTTTATTTAAAACTATTTCTAATGTATCTTAAATTAAAAAAAATTCTAATCCTGGGTGATTTATGATGTATATACATTAACACTGTATTCCCCTGCCTCATTCTGCAAGTGTAAACTATTCACCTGTAAAGCCGGTGTATGTGTTTTGTTTGGGGACTGGTTTTTCACGTCACCCAGAGGGGGTCAGCAGTGAAAGCCAACACCTGTTACTCACGGCTTCTTTTAAAGACGCACTTGGAAGAAAGTGATTTAAATTTCAGTTCACATGTCAAGTTTTAAAAATTACTGAGGAAAGACAGAGATGCTTCAATAGTGATATTAAATATCGTGCAGGAGCTTTTCAAGCCTCGTTCACATTTTATTGAATAATTAAATACAAACAAGTGATATGCAATAACCTTAAAATCTCTTTTATGGCCATTAAGAATTTAAACAAATTCATTTAGCCTAGCCACAATTACTGTTATATCCAACAGTAAATTGAATGTTGTTTTGAACTCAATTTATGTTTTATTTTTGGAGCCTTAAGGAGTCTCATCAGAGAGCTAGTGTGGTAGGAATAAGGGGTTCAGTACTTCAGCTTTCACAAAAGGCCTCTAAAGTCTTAAGACAAAAATAACAAAACAAGCTTATTCTGTTTCAAAATAGTTTTCCTCTCAATGTTTACATTCCTTAGTTGGTACCCTATGAAATACAAAGCTGCATCTTCTTAATGGAGGAAACAATCCCAAAACAATTTTCTGCTTTTGTTTGGAATACAGACCGTTCGTTACTTTATTATATACAGAAACACGTTTTCACTGACAAAATGCTTTCTGAGGTTCGTTATTGCAACTTGACATTCAAAGCACAGACACAATTTTCTTTGCAACGAAAGGTCGTAAGAAACGAACAGGTTTTAACAGAGAGGAGCCCAGGCATTTTAGAAGGATGTAAAGGAGCAACAGTCTCTTGAACGTTTGAAATATATTTACAAAGGACCTTGGCGCTGTTCGCTGCCCTATGCATCTCACAAAACGAGTCCCCCTTGTCCCTTTAAGTCAGACACAACCGCTCTTCAGCCTGGCTGGAAACTTTCTAGATCCCCGTTAGGAGCAGTGCGCTGGCCACTCGTTTTATTTAAGCTGCGAAAACTCTAGGGTAGCTCAGGACGCTTTTCTTTCGCTCCAAAATTCCAAAGACTTCTTTTGAAAGGATATACAGAAGAAAAGGGGGGGGGGGGGGGTAAAATCAAGCTACAGTTTCCGCTGGATAAGGACACTATGCAAATGACTGATGCTAAAGAGGAAAATACCCTTTAGATCCCTCCAAACCCCCTCCCCGCTCCTCGTTGCGGCCGGAGGCACAGCTCGGGCATCACTTGCGGCGGCGTTTCTGCAAGTTTCTTACCTCCGGGCCTCCTTTCTGGCTCGGCCCCCGCCCGCCCGCCGGGAGCGCTCCCGCCGCCGTTGGCTGCGCCCCGCGCCGCCCCGCACACGCGCGCTCCCGCCGCCTCTCCCCCCCCCCCCCCCCCCCCGGCGGCTCCGCCGGCGGCCTCGGCCCGGTAACCCATGGCAACCGCCCTGGTAACCCATAGCAACTGCGCTGCAGAAAGAAAGGGGAAAAAACACAAACCCCGGGTGGAGGGGGAGGCGGGCGGGGAGTGGGAACGACAACCGCAAAGAGGCAAAGAGGCTGCGGTTTGCAGCGCAGCCCGCAGCGCCCCGCCCTCCGGCCCGCTGCCCGCGGGTCCCCCCGCAGAGGACAGCCCGGCGGCGACAGAGCGGAAAGAATGCACCGAGGGCGGGGTGCGGGCGGGGTGCGGGGCTGGGGGCGGCCTGTGCTGGCGATGCCCTGGGCGGCCGGAGCGCGGTCCCCGGACGGGTGGGTTCCGGCTCCGGGGGCAGCGGGCGATGGCGGAGGGAAGGGAGAGGTGGTCTCGGGCTGGCCCGAGTCTTTGTTCTGCAGATGCCAGCGGGCCCGGCCCCGCCGCCCGGCCCAGAGGTGTGGGTGTGGGTGCGGGTGCGGGTGCGGGTGCGGGTGTGGGTGCGGGGTCCCCGCAGGGCCCCGGGGTGGCGGCGGGGCTGGACGGAACCCTCATGTGTGCTATGCGCAGCGCCATCCCCTCAGTCACCCGGTTCTCCGGTGGTCCCCCGGGACCCGCAGCCTGTGGGCGGACCTGCCGCCGCTTTGCCCCGCTCCCCCGGGGGAGAGCCCGGGCTTCAACTGGGATGGACGCCCGGAGAGCAGAGACGCGGCCGCGGCGGAGGGTGCAAGGCGGCGGCAGGACAGAGGAGGGCGCTGCGGGCCGGCTGCGGAGCGGGAGCGATGGGGCTGCTCCTGTCTGCGCGGTGCAGTCCCAGCTCCCAGCAGAAAGGACGCCCCTTCGATCTGCCTTTGCGCTCGCGGGCATCCCCTGCTGGCTGTGTGTTCCCATCTGCTGGCTGTGTGTTCCCATCTGCTGGCTGTGTGTCCGCAGAAGCCCAGCCCGCAGTGAGAGGGCGGCCACACGCCGGCCCTGGTCCCAGGCCACACAGGGACCTAAGAACATAAGCCACCCACAGGCAGTGCACCGCGGTGAGGAGAGGCTGCCCCGGGGACCTGGAGCCTTTGGTGACAGGTCCCCCCTGCCTCTCACTGGCTGTGACTTCCAAGCGCACTGTGACGTTTTAAGAAGGAAAAGGTTTGGCCTGGGTAGTTATGAAGACCTTGGAGATCATAATCCTCCACTCTTCTCCTGTAGGTGGGCACCAGTCACCAATCCACATAGCAGCGCCTCCTTTTTGAAGGCAAAGGCCTGCGCAAGCATCACACACACACACACACACACACACACACACACACACACACCCCTGAGCAATCCATGTTCCTGAAAACAGGGTTAGAACAGTGCCTGATCCGTATCCTAATGCTTTTCTGCTGAGGGAAGCTGGCTAGGTAAAGAATCCCATTTTAACCCCTTTGCAAAGAAACAAACCTGAATATACACCGAGTGGCCAGATTATCATGATCTCTGAACGCATAATAATCTGGCCACTCAGTCTCTATCCTATAGAATAAAAGGCTAATATGCAAATTGTCCCCTCGACCAGGAGTTGGACCAGCAGGCATGTTGGCCAACCGCCCGTGTCCCCTCCTCCTGGCCAGGCTGGCTGGACCCCCACCCATGCACACATTCATGCATCAGGCCTCTAATATATAATATATATAGGTACACACACACACACACACACACACACACACACTCACACACTGAGTGGCCAGATTATTATATGTTCAGAGATCATAATAATCCTGCCACTCAGTGTGTGTGTGTATCTGCTGGAAAGGGAAACTTGGTTTATTTTCACAAACGCGCACCTTCTGGGTTCTGCCACTTATCAGGCTCAGGTGCAGAGGGGACTGTGCAAACTGTTGGAGATTAAAGATGGGGACTTGCCCGCGCTGGGATCCGCTCAGAACAATTTCTGCCCTTTGCAGAGTGGTGTACTGGGAGCCCTGTGCTTTAATTTAAAAATTTTTTTTTTCAACAAAAGCAATTACGGAAAAGTGCAAATTTAACGTGTGACATTTAACATTTCGCCGTGGCAGGCAGCTCCGCTTAAATGGGGCCTTTCTGTGGAACAACAGGAGCCGAAGGCCGGTGTCACGGGGTAATGTAAGACACAATCTGGGCTGCGGACGCACAATGAATCGGGAAGGATTTATGTAATTAATTGACCAGTCTTAACCTGTTATCGTGATGTAAGGAATTTGGAACTCATTAATTTGGGCTCTGACAGATTTCATATTAGAGCTGGCAAATATGGATTGAGCCTCTTATTCTTGTAGCAGCTGGAATGTCCATGACAGTGAGGGTTAGTGAAGAAGGCCTATTGCTGGAGTCTGACCGCCTCTTTGTAATCAGCAGCCCTGCTCTACATTAAAGGCATAATGAGAGAGAAAAAAAAAAAAGGAAAGAAAAGAAAAAGGAAAAGGCATAGTACCTGAAGCATCGGAAGGGGCTTGTGCTCACTCTGCTGGTAGGTGCACTGAGCTCAAGCGTTTGCAGTTGAATGAAAACATTAATCCCAGTCCTGAGCGAGGTGCTCTGTCCAGCACCTTGAGAGGATGAGAAGGTTAGGGTGTCGGGGTCAAGTGTGGTATTGTTGTCTACGTAAAAAGGGATGAAAAGACGGCGCCTTTGAATTTCCTCTTTGTGAACACAGAGATTGCACGAAGGAGGACATTAGAAGTCTTATGAGGGGCAAGTGGCATTTCTTGTCATGTCACAGCCACCAACGAGCGCTTCAGAGCCGCGAAGGAGGAACCACCTCCAGTCACCTGGGCAGAGGTCCCCTGCGGACCCCGAATCCCAGCGCTCCCGTCACGGCATTTCTTCAGCACTCTAAGCTGCGTCCTCCTCGCAGTATCTGATGTTCAGTGAATCGCCCAGTGGGAAATGTCTCGTTTCTTAGAGATTAAAAACAACAACACCCTACTCAGAATCTCACGTTCACTGCCCCCGCGTGGCAATCAGAAAATTGCTAGGTTGAGAAAAAAGGTTCCAAGACGAAATGAAATGCTTTTTCCTTTTCTTCCTCTTACAATAGGTCCTCCCTCTGGCCGCGCCATGTGATAAGGTTAATATAGCAGCTGCCACGGGGATCATTAATACAGGCAGATAAGCAAAGTTGCGCGTTTAAAACACTTTCAGGGGATCATTTGCCTCTCCGGATGATAAGGAAGGCCTGGTAACAAACGCAGGGTGCGGCCGAACGTTTACCTCCTCAGGCAGGAAGCACGCTGACCTCTCCTGGTACGCGATTACTCCCAAGCACTCTTCAAAGCTGGGGACTGGCCGCTCTTGAATATGTTTTCCATCGTGTACATCACCTCTAACCAATTTCCATTCAAGCATAGCTTCAGTCTTAACATAACAAATACTGTTCCAGCACAAATCTTTGCAAAAACAAAAAAAGGTTTCCAACTCTCTGGGCGGAAGATTGGAAATTTCCATGCCCCCCTTTTGGGTGAAATTTCCACGCCCCCCTTTTGGGTGAAATTTCCACGGCCCGCCTCCTTCCTTTTTGTTGTCTCCACTCCAGGCAAATTCCGAAGTAAAGAATTTTTATTTTACTTTTTAATTAGTGACAATGGGATTTGATCTAAAGGTTTGTTTTGTGGTTATCTTGTGAACACGTGATTTCTTCAGCTTAGGTTCCGTTGGAATGAATGTATGAAGATAAACGCTAGCAATTGCATTGGTATATTAATGTTATCCTTCACATGGAGAGCAAAAAGAGTGGTAGTAGTTGATATTAGTATTCGTATGTTAGTGGGAAGGAGGGCTGTGAAGATAAACAATTGATATCAGCAAGGCCCGGGTGACTAGTGTAAACCATGACAAGGGCGATTAATAGTGTGTATAAACACACTTCAAATTTGTGTACACCATCTCAGCTCTCACCTAGGGATTTCTTTGTATTTTTTAAAAGGACAGTTTTTAAGTTGGCAATTACAAGGTTATCAACTCATGTGCTGTGTGTGCTGTTTAGACATCAGCGTTATGGATGGACATATTGGAGCGTGATTTCCTGGAGAGACTGTTGATGGGAAGGAAGTCTGTGCACTGGTTCTGGCTCTGGGCCCAGCACCAGCCCAAAGGTGGCTCCCTCCTCCCTGGACTGCCGCTTCCTCATCAGAGCAGTAAGAAGCTTGAATGCAGAATATCTTTAAAAAAAAAATATATATATATATATATATATATTTTATTGATTTTCACAGAGAGAAAGGGAGAGGGATAGAGAGCTAGAAACATCGATGAGAGAGAAACATAAACCAGCTGCCTCCTGCACACCCCCTACCAGGGATGTGCCCGCAACCAAGGCACATGCCCTTGACCGGAATCGAACCTGGGACCTTTCAGTCCGCAGATGGACGCTCTATCCACTGAGCCAAACCGGTTTCAGCCAGAATATCTTTAAAGGTATTGATAAATGTTACTAAGAAAAAGGGGAGGCCGCATAGCGGCTTTCATGGTCAATAGCATTTCAGATACATTAGCATTAATTTTCTGCAGGACTTCTCAGTACCTTTCACTTAGAACCCTTCAGTATGTGTGTGGGGATACTGTGCACAGTTTTCTTAAACTGATTCGAAGAAGAGAATCTAAAATTCTATAGATCTTTTGAATCTATAACACTTTGGGTTCTTTCCCAGAATAATTAAGGGACACTCAGGTTTCTTAAGGCCAGGGTTCAAGGAAAGTGTGGACATCACCGAGAGAGAGGGACTCCCCCTCAGAGACTTCCCTTCAGGCTCTGTAAGAGGCAGGGAGGATGTGCTAGGGGTAAACGTGTTTCACTGCTTACAAGATGAGTGGCCTGGCGTGAGCCACTCCACCTGCTGGAGTTTATGTCTTCACTCACACTGCGTGCTTCCTTTGCTTTTCCTTCCCCCTTCCAAATGCCCTTTTTTGTTGTTGTTAATCCTTACCCAAGGATATTTTTCCATTGATTTTTAGAG